GAACAAAACCCCCCCCCTCCACCTTCCCCAAGGCGGTAGAAAATGATCGGTGCATAAGTGTACAATGACAATAACAAATTTACATGTCTAGACATCACAGGAAACGTACAACTGATAAGATATCAATCATTGACGTATTTCGTGATGGCTAAAACAAAGGAAGTTTGAGTTCATTGAATGATAAGCCCATAAGGACATATATTTCCAGAAAACATGTATAAACCCCACCTGCGGTATTGCGTTATCAATGATAGTATATGCCAGGAGCCCATCAAGTGATGGGCTCATGTATATGCCAGGAGCCGAGTGATGGGCTCCTGTATATGCCAGGAGCCAAGTGATGGGCTCCTGTATATGCCAGGAGCCAAGTGATGGGCTCCTGTATATGCCAGGAGCCAAGTGATGGGCTCCTGTATATGCTAAAACAGTCGATAGCGTTGACGGCGTACTCTGATTGCCCAGTAAAACTCCGAATATCCTTCACTTCTCGTGTACGAGCAACTCGCGCGGGATTTACGCCCGAAGGTATTGTAATTGTCACAGGTAGAAATGAGTAAAAATATTAATCATCTTTTTTTGCTACTTCAACTCACTTTTTTCGGTGTTTATTGAAACAACTATTCACTGTAGTGTCGGTGGCCAGCGGCGGATTTTTACCTCACCTCTTTCCGGTTTGGTAAATATCTACCACAAGACATCTCTATTTCTGTAAATAGTTGTTAATTGTTCAAACCGAAGATGAATGGCAAATATTGCAATTAGTCTAATGAAACAATTATTTCGGTCTGTCGTTTTTCAGGTACATTGGTAAAGTAAGCTATGGTTGCTGTTCTGTGGTTTCTAATCGTATTAGTTGACGTAAGCAAGTCTCTTGAATGCACCCAGCCTGTGTGGTCTGTGAAAGGAAAGTATCTCAGAGGTCATGTAACTTCGAACGTTAGTACTAGCGGCCTGGGCGACTGTATGCTGGAGTGCTTCAGTGTTCCGCAATGTAAAAGCATCAACTTTCGGTTTAAGTACTTACTCTGTGAACTAAACGACGCCAGTAGAAACACACACCCATGGGACTACATTTCCAGTGAGGAGCATGCGTACAGTGACATCCATCCTGATAAGGTTTGATTGGAACAGATTCTGTTCTTTAAAATGTGATCTTCATAAATTTTATGCCAAGTCTTAAATGTAAAATCCTCTGAAAGTAATTCTGGTTAATCCAATTTGTTGCAAACAGGTAGCATTTCAGAGCCTGCATTTGAACATGACACCTTCATGGCTTCAAGCCCATGCTTCTTTCATTGATAGCAACAGCTCCTATTCCGCAGCTGCTGACCAGATAACATTCAACGCAGGCTCTTTAATGAATGCAGCCCTTTTCAAAGTTGCTTTGCTGGCCGATGGTGTGTTGACTGAAGGAACTTCGTTGACCGTTTAGATGACTATAGCAGTAAACTCAACTTATGGGCAGACAACCGACAGTGACCTCAGACTCGGTGTGTCGGATGGAGGCAAATTCATCGGGTTTGAAATACCAGATAAAGATAATTACCAAACCCATAATCCTTGTTGTGGAATACAGGCGAAGTCCGGCAGCTCACTGAGTAACATAAAGGTTTTCGATAGGTACGCTTCCAAATCACAGCTAAGTTCGTACCCAGGATTATTTCTTATCACTTTAAAGCTAGATCAGAAATGGGGTGAGTGCATCATTGCTCGTGGGCATCTCGGGGGATTTAATAAAACGGTTAGATACAGTGAGCAGTTGATGCTA